GGTGTGCGCTGCCTCAGTCCACCCTGCTGGGGCAGAAGCCCCTCGCACAAAGAAGTGGGTGCCCCGGAGAGCGGGGAGTCCAGCCCAACTGATCGGCCCGCCTCGAGCGATTGACCAGACCCCGTGGAAGCTCAGGAGGGGCTTTTTTCCATGGCTCCATGAATCCACACCAAATGTTGCTAGTGAGTTCTGTAAATTATTGTGATGTGCATTAAAATCCAACTGGACCTAGGACATTATTGTTTTCCCCTTTATAATGCAGCATGACTGATCCAGGTGTCATCTGAGGCCATGATACGAGGCGTTCGTAGGTGGCTGCTGGTGTCTTGTCCCTCGGGGCCGAGGGTGAAAGATGTGGCAGAGTGAGGTGGTGGAGCTTGTGGGATCTCATGGGAAGCAGCAGGGGTACCAAAATCCTTCAAGCAGGACAACAAGCGAGTTCAGCCAGAGCTGTCCTCGTTGGGCTCTCTGTCTCTAGGGATTTTATGTACCAGGCAAGGCCATGCGTCAGTGTCCTTGCCCCCATTAAGCGGTACAGTCCTTTCTCTCCCGGCGTCAACCAGGCCTGAACCGCAGCCAGTGCTTCACTGTGGACAGGCCGGGCCCTGCCGTTTTGTGTTCCTGGTCTGCAGACTTCCCCGTTTGCTTTGGAAAGAAATGTGCACCAGTCTCTTCTGGCGGAAGGATCAGGGAGCAGCACCAGGGCAGCTGCTGGTCCCCCCCCCGAGCAGGAGGGGTGTTTGTACCGGTGTAGTAAGCCAGGAGTCGCCACCCTTCTCTTTAGCACCACAAAGTGCTTTGCCAGACTCGCTTGTCTGCAGAATGAGACAGTTGTGAGGAAGGATGTTCCCGGTTAAGTTTTCATCTTTTCTCTGAGTTCATTTGCTGGGTTTCAATAAACTGCTTTTTGGAACCAAAGTCTCAGGGTGGCTTATACATGGGGAAGATGATAATTGCAGTGCGGGTATCAAGGCCAGGCCATTCCTCCCGCCACCCTCCAGTGCGTTCCGCAGCTGTCTGGATTGTGTCTGCTCAAGATAAAGGAACGGTGGTCAGGTATACGGGGTTTTCTGCCCATATTCCTCCCTCCCTCCCTCCCTCCCTCTGCAAGTTGAAGGTCATCTCCATGACTCACTACTTGTATCCTGCATTCTCTTTTGAGGGGCTTCCTGCTCAGTGAAGAAATAAAGCAGGACCTTAGTTAGAATATTTCGGGCTGCAGCTGAGAGGCCCAGATGGTGGAAACAATTCGCGTCCGTGCATTCAGACCACTAATATGTCAGCCAGGGAGAAGGCTGGCTTTGCTTTCTAATATTTAATTATTTTTAGAGCCACCTTTCACCTTTTTTCAAAGCACCTTTCAGAATCACCCACTCCCAGGGCTGTTGGCAATAAAAAAAACAGCTCTCCTGTATAAAAATATTAAAAACATCTCGTGCAAAGCATAAAAGTAGCGCGTACATCACTGGGTAAGATTGTAAAAATCAGATAAGAATACCAGCACCTGAAGTTGTTCAAAACGTGCCAGTGCTCACAAATTGCGAGCTCCCAGCCCTTGATGACGACATGTGAAGCTTGCTTCCTTGCTGGGGCTGGGTGAGCGTTGTAGGGGGGAAGGGGCTCTCAGGCCTGGGTTTTCTGCACCGGGATGCTGTGGCCACCGGTGATGTGAAATGCACCTGGAGGTGCATGAGCAGGGAGCAGGCCCGAGGAGATGTGCTGCTCCAAAACGGAGCCCCTGAGGTGCGCCGTGCGCCACCTGCCCGCATGCCAAGATCCGCGGCCGCCAGAGGGTGCCGCTACTGCCGCACCAAGGCAGCACCGCGGCAGAGGCGAGCTTCAGATCCGCTTATCCCTCTGGAAATAAATCGGCAGCATTTTGGCATCTGCTGCTTCCTCCCTCGCAAATTAGACTGGCGCACTCGCCCTCCTATGCCTAAGGGGTCTCCAGCGTGTTGCCACACTGACTCCTTTCTCCCAGCGCCGTGGCAGTGCAGCGAATATTCCACGAGGGTGGAAGATGCAGGTGGGTGTAGAATAGAAAGAAACCTTAGAAAGCGGCCCTGGGTGGAGAGGAGGGCGGGAAACCCCGACAGACTCCTTTTGGGTTGATTAATCTGCAAAAAGGCTGGTGCTTAAGCTGCACCAGCACTTCCTGGCCGGGAGTGGTTAAAGGCACGACACAATACCAATTTTCAGTTATTGGTAGAATTGCAGAACGCCCAACCGTGGCCGCTGATGCAGCTCACGGTGTCGGCAGCTTGAACGGGGTCCTGGCATGGTGCTCTGTATGGATCTGTAAGACTGCTGAGAGCTGTGCTGGACCGGCTCCGTGGCCTCTCGTCCAGGGGTCTGGTCACTCTGGCCAACCCACTTCCTCCACGGGAAGCCTGCCAGCTGGAGCCCGCCTGCCTGTAGTCCCCAGCACGTGGTTGGGCTGCAGCACGTTCCCTCTGACAGCAGAGGCAGCAGAGCCATGGCCGCCCCCATCATCGGGTGGAGTGAAGCAGCCCCCTCAGGCAGCCGGTGCTGGGAGACGGCTTGCAGGCCTCCAGCAAAACTGACGCTCCTCGTCTCTCCCTGGTGTGATGCTGCCAGTCCATCTGGCTCCTGGACGCACAGTGAGGCGCCATCTTTTCTCTGCCCAAAAATGTCCTGGTCCAGCCCTGCGCAGAACCATGAGGACTAGTAGCACGTGATGCTGTTAGGAATCCTAACAGGCTCTGAACCCCATAGCAGAATTTCTTCTAGTCTGAGGGAAGAGGCAACCCAGAGACCAAGCTGCACTTGTATTTCAAGGGGTTTTGTATTGGGTTATTCATCGTTTCTGAATGCAGCACAGCCGTACCAAAAGATAAGTGTAACGAAGGTGCTTCATTAGTCTTCAGGGTGCCGCAAAAGCTTCCAGCTGGTGCTTGGATTTGCTTTTGTCTCCCACCGCATCCCGTTTCCATTTGTGTTGTGATTCTAGATTGAACCCCTAATTTCTTTGTAAGCTGCTCCCAGCAGCCTTTTTGTCTGACTGGCAGATAAAATGCTTAAAATAGATACAGAATAATTAGGTCTCTTTGTGGTTAGTACCTGTCCGATAGGCAAGCCCCCCCTCCGCCCCCCGCAGTTGGCTGGAATACCAGAAAGGCTGAGAGCACTGGAAGAGCCTCGGCCCCAGGGACACCGCTGAGGCCTCAGCCAGAGGGATACCTGTTTACCTGAGCTTTACCTGGCAGTGGATGTTTGCCTCTGCGCAATGCAGAAATGGCCAGAAAGGACCGCCTCTCAAGGGCTACAGCGAGGCAATTAATTGCCCCCCCCCCCCGAGCACTTCCAGCATCACATTCTTGAGAGTGCAGCTACCTTGGAGCCTGTGAAAACAGTTCAGGGCCAATTTGCTTCAATAATGGGGAACATGGGGAGGTCAGCCGCTGGGAGAGATGGCGGGGCCACTGCCCCCCCCCACCAACCTGGCACCTCTGCTTATGGGACCAGAGCCCCCATCACCCGCAGCCATCGGGACCTCGGACAACGGAGGCAGGCAGGTGCCAGCCTGGGCCAACCTGCGCTGCTGAGATCGCAGTCGGTGCGCGGATGCGGCAGCCACTGAACCTGGTGCAGCGCACTCCGGCGTAACGCCGCATGGCAAGACGGTGGGAACAGGTTGTGAGCCAGGAGGCCTTGTTCTAACCTTGTCTGCACCTCAAAACCATTGGGGGCCTTCGGTAAGCCTCAGCGCCCCCCCGCCCCCCACATCTGCGTGAGGGGGGTTGCGAGTAGCCCGCCTTACAAGGAGGCTGTAAGGATCACAGGAGCCACGGGCGGGGAGGGCTCCGGGAGGGGTTCTCTGCGCACTCCAGATCAGCGATGCGCACCACCCCGAGGCCTGGTCTCTCAGCCCCACCCCCCAACCGCAGGCCCTGTGAGCCGGGGCACCCCATATTGTCCTCCGGGGTTCACCACTGGACACTGTTCCTTTCCTCTGGCCATCTGCTGCTGGTGCCTTCCAGGATGTGGGGCGCTCCCGCATCCCCCATTCTTAAATGTCTCCCTCGAGGCTTGGCTCCAATCGTAAGGACGTTGTGTAGGACAGGCAGGGCTGGAGTCGGGGGCAGCGGGAAAGGAGCGGACGTGGTCGTGAAAGCACAGCACTGCTGATCCTGGTCTCCGTTGCCAGTCCATTCCAGCGCAGCGCTTTCCCTTCCCCACGGTGGACTTCACATTACCTCAGCCTTCCCCAGCCAGATGTGCCAGGATGGCACCATCCCCACAATTCTGTTGCACTCCCCACACATCTGGAGGGGACCCGGCTGGGGAAGGTGGCATGGGATGGGGAAGGATAAATCCTTTCCGGCACGTGGGTGGGTGTCATTTTGGATGAGGACATGAGATGGTGGGAGAGCTA